AAGTCCGTGTAAAGAACTCGCGAGCAAAGTGAACTAATAATAGCTTGTTCGCAGCCATTGGCTAGGTATATTTATCGAATACCGATTGCCCAGGTCTCACCACGTGGAGGTTGCTGCGAATGGAGACCCGAGGAAGATGGACGGAATCACAAGTTCAACGTCCATCAACCTTTTTACAATTGGTTTCGTTATAATCAACTTAAATCTTAGGACGCTCGCGCCGAACACAAACACACAAGCACACACACACATACAATAACTTAAATTAATCGCAACGCAGAAACATACGTCCAAACGAAGGGGATTATCGGAATTGAGTCACCACTCATCATACCGTTCACGCACCGAATACCAAGCTATTATTAAGTGTAAACTACAGTAGATCTATACGAACAAACTTTGTTATAAGTTTACTCAATGAGCATATGTAATTTAATTAAAACTTTATATCATCTTGTATTGCAGATGACTGTGTGATATGCAAATATACTTATAGCGCCACGCCAAGCAAAGGCATAACGCGACCAATGTCTGAATTCTCCGGAGAATCCAGAGGGATCGGTAAACAGCTTTAGTACACCTACACGCTTTAGCGGCGTATACTAAGTCCGTGTAAAGAACACGCGAGCAAAGTGAAGTAATTATAGCTTGGTAATTTTACAATACTTTATCGAGCGTAATGCCGATTGCCACGATTTATTACCAGAAGGCTACTATGAGGACAGATCAACCCCACCCCCCTCCTCTCCCGCACTCTCACACCACCTACCAGTCGCTCAACCCATATGCAACAAAATGAGTTATTTTTTAATTTCGCACGGGCCTAATGATGATTAGCACGTGAAGAAAAATATCCATGTGGTCTTCGCAATAACAAAAATCTTCTCATGTTCTTCAAGCGGAGACAAATGTTCAGATGATCTTGACACGAAGAGATATCTTCAGATGTTGACTTAAGTTTAAATAAGCATACTGTAACTAGATGATACCTTGTATCCTGAGACGGACACTCAAAAGAGTATGTTCACATATAGTAAGTATAAAAGGGTATAATAACGCGTTTTTATAGATATTTTATTTTTTTAAATTAGAAATTTAATCCCACGACGATTCCTGAAACTAAACAAAGTACCACTCTTAATGTGGGTACTTATCATTCGCAACATTAATTATTTAATGTTAACAAATTTTCTGGAGAATGTTGAAAAACGTGACAGGTGCTTCCTGTTCACTACACTAATTTACCGAAAGAAAAAACTCCCCCACACACGGGATATTTATTCTCAAAATCCTGATTAAAAATTGATTAGTTGCTGTTCTTTTAACAGGTCAATATTCTAATAGACCCCTTTTGATTTTGATTCTTTCTCATTTAATTTGCAATAAAAATGACTCAACTTTGTATTAAGAAAAATTGGAAAACAAAGATTGTGTACTTATTAATTTAATAGAATGCAGTCATTAAGAAAAATTATAAAATATGAAATTAGATCAAGCTATTCAATGATATTCTGATTGGATACCATTTTTTATTATCATTGTGTGATTGTATTGGTTTGTGCAAGGAGGAAATCGGAGGTTGTCATATTCCTCCACTAATGTTTCATTCATCATATATGTATTCAATATATTGCCTACATATTGTGTTCATATACACAATAGACTCAAGAATAGGCATTGAATATTAAGAGCATTAATACTGCTTTGTGTAATTATAAAATGTTTATTAATTGTATGAGTAATAGAAAATACTATCTGTAAGCAGACTACGCTAGCTAAGAAATACAATTGATCAATGTTACTATTCGAAGGTATGATAGCATACCCACATTTACTGTGCTCGCCAAATTTAACATATATTTGTACATGTCTAACTGGTTGTAGTTGCCTGTGCCACTTTAGACTAATCGTCCTATGGCATGATTGGGGACTGGAATAATAAAAAAGGCATGCAAAGACTCACCCGATGATAGAAGGGTGTACAGTCTTTGCTGGTGAAACTTCACATTAGGACATCCAATTTAGTGTTCAATGATGCAACATTTAAAGAAACTGAAAGAAAAACAAGTCAAATTTATTACACTCAGTATTATTATTACTGTTAAATATAACACAACAATTAGTCAGTTTATAATATTTATGAATTACGTTGCAGCATAATACATAACTATGCCACCTTCATGTTTGTTTTTTCATTTAATCAATGTCCCACTTTCCTACATATTCAGAAAATCATTACAAGTACCAAAGTTGCATTATTTATGCATGCTTTGATGAAAAGCATGATAAACTATGCAGCTTGTATTAATCAAATTTACATCAAACACTGTGCTTAAATGTAAATACAATAATCTCATATGGAAAGACACGAGAAATTATCTGTAATCTATTTTAATACAATTTCACAACCGAGATACATAAATCACAATCATTTCCACTTTGAATGTCTCGAAGTATTGTAGTTTAAATTTTGTAACATTCAAGAAAGCCATTTTGAATGCTTCAACTACATAACTACATGAAATGAAATAATTACTCGAAAAAATTCTCATTTGATCTTAGCACAAACCACCAAATCACGATTATTTCACTTACGGTTAAAAACAATATAAAAATACGTAATGAAGTCTCACTTTGTTGTCATAATAAATGTTATAATAAATAATATAATAACTTACCAGAATTCACCAATTTCCCGCCGAATTCTGTTTGAAGGCAGTCAGCAATGCTCAGGACGGTAGTGCGTACTTTCGAACCGAAACTCTGAAACAGAAAATAAACATAAATTTAAGTAATTACACTACGTTAAGAATAGTTAGGTTACAAATTATGAATTATTGAACTCGTGGTGTGTCGCAAAGATTGCAAATTGGATCAGAAATACGTAAATGTTACATTAATTGTTACACAGTGAAACCGAAGAGTAAACCGAAACCTACGATATCGAATTAATTTGGGATTATTTAGTCTAAATTGGATAAACATTTAAGGACAGTAACGATAGAGATCTAATGAAGGTCTAGGAATTAATATATATATATGAATAAAGATGAAAGGTAAATGTCAAACACTCACTTTGATACGAGCAAACGGCTTCTACGTCTTATCCCGCCAAATTCTCCGAAACGAATGACACTTCGGGTACATTCGGCCGGTCCCGAGCGGTTCATTCGGCTATCTTCGGGAAATCCCGAGTAGCTGATTGGTCAGAGCAGTATGTCCCCGAGGAATACGACTTGGCGGGAACAAACATATGCATCACTCCAGTTTAAACGGCGAATGTAACACTGAAAAAACATAACGCCAAAAATATATATGTATGTCGTCACTTATCCAAAAGATAACTTATTAAATGTCCGTTAACATGTTTATAGAGAATACTAAATTTACTCAGACTTTACTAAATACGTAACGAAGTGTCACTTTGTTGTCATAATAAATGTTATAATAAATATTATAATATCTTACCAGAATTCACCAATTTCCTTTCGAATTCCGTTTGAAAGCAGTCAGCGATGCTCAGGTCGGTAGTGCGTACTTTCGAACCGAAACTTTGAAACAGAAAATAAACATAAACTTTAAGTAATTACACTACGTAAAGAATAGTTACGTTACAAATTAACAATAATTGAACTCGTGGTGTGTCGCAAAGATTACAAATTGGATCAGAAATACGTAAATGTTACATTAATTGTTACACAGTGAAACCGAAGAGTAAACCGAAACCTACGGTATCGAATTAACTTGGGATTATTTAGTCTAAATTGGATAAATATTTAAGGGCAGTAACGATAGAGAGCTAATGAAGGTCTAGGAATTAATATATATATGAATAAAGATGAAAGGTAAATGTC